ACCAACACCACGAACGCCACCACGACCAATACCACAACGACAACCATCGCCAACTCGAACACCAACACCACAAATAATACGACCACTACAAACACCAATAAGACCACCACAACCGCCGCCACCTAGACCAACACTACCATTACGACCACCACAACCACCACCAAAACCAGCACGATCACTACCACCACATCTACCAACACTATGACAATAAATCGAACACCAACATTACCACCACCACCACCAATACGACCATCACCAACACAACTATGACTACCTCTACCAATGCGACCATAACGATAACCAACAATAACACAACCACCTTCACCACCATAACCACGACCACCACTAACACCACCAAGACAGCTACCAACAACCACACCTTCACCACGACGACGACCAAAATCCCTCCACCATCACGAAAAACACGATTACCACCACCACAAATACGACAACCATCACTAGTACGACCACAGCGACAACGATTACCACGACAAACACCGCCAGCACGACCAGCACTACTACCACCATTACGACCACCACCAATAAGAAACCATCACTACAACAACTATCACAATCACCACCATGAACACAAGCACCACGACCACCACCGGCACAACGAACACAACGAAGACCAACACCTCGACAGCCACCAACACGATCATTATGGTCACCAACTCCATACACTGTCACGTATCCACGTCCGAACATTCAACGTCTCCGCGTCTCCATGTCGGCAAGTCCAGGCAACTCTTGTTCCACGCGTTATAAGTGCTTGAGTTCCCGCTTCCCCGTGTACACGAGACACCATGTCCCCCTGTCTCCACGTCCCACATCGCCACTTCCCTACGTCTCCACGAACACTCAACTCCGCATCACAACGTCCCCACGTCACCATGTCACATCAACACAACACCACGTCAATCCGTCACCACGCCTAGTCGCCTCGACTCATCGTCCTCACTTCCCATCTTCCCCTGGAACCCTCGGCCTCTCACCACTTGTACCCACGTCTCCCCGTCCCTGCCCCCATTCTACCACCCGCATTCCCCCGTCATAATACTGGAAATTTTCCAAAAGTCGGACAAAAATAAAAAATTGAAGAATTTCAAATTAATTTTTCTCAAATATTTCAAAATATTTGGCTCTGTGCTGTTTGTAGATAATTTCAAGCAATTTTTGATTTTTTGATTTTTTTTAAAAATTGAAAAATTTTTTTAAAAATATTCCCTGTGCGATCCCCACCAAAAACAGTCTATGCCACACCCGGCCTCTGAGGGACTTAGTATTTCCATAACCATGTATCTGCCTCACCCGCTCTCTACCGGACTCGGACTCTTACCCGGTGTCCTACGTGAGCGATTAAATGCGAGCGGTGCGAGTTGCTTGGGTGAAGCGGAAATATCAAACTGGCTGTTTGTGTGGCGCTGTCCTATGTTACAGCGAAGCAGTCGCCGGCCAAAGTCGAGATCAAATATTTTGATATTTTCGCGCAGGTCGCTGCGCTGGCCAGTAAGGCGCATGCGCAGATAAGCTCTGACTGTGCAGTACAGGAAAGGTGCATGCGCAGAAAGACCGTGTGCTTCTATTGCAGTCTCTCACGTAGGACACAACAAGCGATTCCCTTATGTCATATGACACCCCATGCTGCTTATGCAGCTCGCTTCTTATCACTCACGTAAGACATTGCCTTAAGGTCCTGGTCATTGAAGGCGGCAAAGACACGGTCATACAGACCGGATCGTGCAGATACCGGGTCCTAAAGAGACCGGTTTGGGCTGAGACCCCGTGTAGTGAATTTTGAAAAATTTGAAAATTATAAAAAATCAATAAATGCTGGAAATTGTCTGAAAAGCGCACAAAACCAAACATTTTTGAAATATTTGACAAATAATTTTGTAAGTGAAATTATTCAAAATTTCTTTGTTATGTGCGCTTTTTGGATACTTTCCACCATTTTTTGAAAAAAATTTCAAAATTTTCCAAAAAACAAAAAAAGCTGGAAATTGTCTGAAAACCGCACAAAACCAAATATTTTTGATATACTTGAAACAAAATTGTAAGTGTAATTTTTCAAACTTTTTGTGCGCTTTTCGGACAATTTCCAGCATTTTTTGATATTTCGAAAATTTTCAATGTTTTCAAAATTTATTTCAAAATTCTCCCCACCTGATGCCTTGCAGAACCGGTCTCTGTCGGACTGTTTCTGTCGTAGTGTCTCTGACCAACGCGATCTGTCTCACATGGTCTATGAAGTGTACGGCAGACATCACGTAAGGCAGAGACCGAGACGGGCAGAGACACGGTCGGTCACACACCGAGTCTTGCAGAGGCCGGTTGTTGCAGACACCGAGGCAGTCAGCAACCGGGTGAGATAGAGGCCGAGTCCTTTCAGAGACAGGATGTGGCATTCACCGAGGCTGGCAAGCATCTCTTGGAGAGAGATTTGAAATAATTGTTGAAAATTTTCGACAAATCAAGAAATACTGTAAAAGTCACTTAGTACTCTGTAATTTAGATCGACGAGGTTATGATGTTACGGATAAATAGCTCAGACCGGAGAAACAAGAAATGCGTACAGAAATCTTGTAGATGAAACGTCATAATAACCTCTCACTTATGTTACTGAAGGCCCGACATAGCAAAACAGTGCAAGAGAAACGGGTGGTTAGGATCTGATCTGAAATTAACTGGTCCTGTACGATATACAAATGTGGGCTTTGACAGTACCAGTAATGCTTGGCGTTCTTTTACCAGAGAGTTAATTAGTTATTAAAATAGTCTGGTGCTCTATGAAGTTTAGTGTCTCATTGTATTAGGATTATGAATGTATATTATCAGATTTATACTGCGCAGGCATAATCACTGTGGATTATGAAGCCTGTGAGTAATTATCTACGGCATCTCCGTTTCCGAGGACATCACTTGCCGACGTGTGTAACCAATGCCTTCACAGGCATTCCAAAACACTATATGTAGAGATAGACCGATAGCTTTGGTTATTGGAGTGATTCTGGGTCTATAAACTCCCTTTGTGAATATATTCTGGTTTAATCTTTTAAAGGGCAAAAGATTGTCTAAATAAATATTTAAAATCACGGTTCTCATACCCGTAATAACTCGCCACTTACCGTGACATACGTAATGTATTTTAATGACCTACGGAGATTGTCTTCGCTTTATTTTGAGAGTAAAATGAATGCCGTACCATGTTGGCTACAGGCAAAATTGTGAACTTAAAGGCAGGTTTGAACTGTTGCGCCTTGGAGACTTCTAGGTGTGTGTACATTTTTTGGAGAAACATGCTGCATCTCTAGGAATAAAGGTGGAAGCAACTATTGTCTTCCGAAACGTTAGTATGTACCTGCAAGTCTTAACGGCGTCACAACCCGGAAGAACTTCTATACCTTGACCGCCATGAGAACTTCAGATCGATGAAACTTTCCATAAAGACATGTTTCCGTTGTAGACGACTCTTGGAGAGAGATTTGAAATAATTGTTGAAAATTTTCGACAAATCAAGAAATACTGTAAAAGTCACTTAGTACTCTGTAATTTAGATCGACGAGGTTATGATGTTACGGATAAATAGCTCAGACCGGAGAAACAAGAAATGCGTACAGAAATCTTGTAGATGAAACGTCATAATAACCTCTCACTTATGTTACTGAAGGCCCGACATAGCAAAACAGTGCAAGAGAAACGGGTGGTTAGGATCTGATCTGAAATTAACTGGTCCTGTACGATATACAAATGTGGGCTTTGACAGTACCAGTAATGCTTGGCGTTCTTTTACCAGAGAGTTAATTAGTTGCATGTCCCAAGTCGCGAGAAGTCGCAACTCCCAAGTCGTGAGAAGTCGCATGTCCCAAGTCGTGAGAAGTCGCATGTATCAAGTCGTGAAAAGTCGCATGTCCCAAGGCCTGATAAGTCGCATGTCCCAAGACCTGATAAGTCGCATGTCCCAAGTCGCGAGAAATCGCTTGTCCCAAGTCGTGAGAAGTCACATGACCCAAGTCTTGAGAAGTCGCATGTCCCAAGTCGTGAGAAGTCGCATGTATCAAGTCGTGAAAAGTCGCATGTCCCAAGGCCTGATAAGTCGCATGTCCCAAGACCTGATAAGTCGCATGTCCCAAGTCGCGAGAAATCGCTTGTCCCAAGTC